ACAGGGGTCAGCAATATTTTAATGACACAATTTTGTTTTGTTTTTAATCAGTGTGTGATTAAAAGTGTGATGATACAATTATATCATTATTTCCAGCTATGTGTTGTATTTTGGGGAGGAAGGTTGCCTACTCTTTGACCATTTTTCATTTTATTTTCCACCAGAAATACACAAGAAATTGTACTGCTGGTGTCAGCAGTTTGTAATCAAAATTTCAGTGGGAAGATCTTGGAAGGCTCTCAGTCCTGTATACACAGGGTGCCAACTTTTGACCTAGGATATAACAGTCAGAGACAACTGCAGCAGGGACTTTACTGAACATTAACTTATTCCTTGAAAATTAAAAATTTGAGGACAAACCAGTTAATTCAACAAAAACTTAGTTACCAAAGATATGAACAGAGAATTAAATAATGGTTTGCTAAGCTAAAACAATGAAGAGAAATGGTTAGTGTCATGTTTTTTCAGATCCCACCTGTATTTCAGGAAATTTCAAGAGTAATACGGTCTAAATTGAAGAACATACTTTTAAGTCTAGCCCAATCCTGCAGAGAACTTCATGAAGCAAAAGGCATTTCATCTCCCAGCTGTGTTTAGTCTGAAGAATAAATAAAACTGTGGGAAGATGGAACTTATTTGTACTGCAAGACTTCTTTCACTTCTCTACCTTCAATGCAAGCCGAAAAACAATAAAAATATATGAAATATCAAAGATAGCTGGTGTAAGAACTTTAAGATCTGCAGTTTCTAATTTAAAAGCCACATCAGTGTATGCCTGTATACCTAGTAGCACTGGATAGGAATTTCGATGAAACCAAGAACACATTAACTGTATCTATGATATAGGAATGGAACATTCTTCAATTAGATTAGGAACATAAGGATTGTGTAAGCATCAAAAAGACTATCGGGGCCAAAGAAGGTTTCGCTTTACCTGATTTGAAATTGTACTTTGCAGCTTGCTGTTTAGTCTGGATGAAAGAGTGGGTGACACTGAGAAACAGACAGTTATTGGACTTGGGAGGACATGATTTAAGATTTGGGTATAACAAGATAAGGTTAATGTATTTAAAAAATCATTTATGGTATAACAAGTTAAGGTTAATGTAGATTTCAAAAATCATTTTATTAGATGTCCCATTATGAGAATTTGGAATAGATATAAGTCTAGATTGTATCCAAAAATACCTTTATGACTATCACCACAAGAAACATATTATAGAAGAGAAATGGTAATGAAGCGGAAATGGCTAACTGGTGACATTTTAGATTTTTACCAGGGAGAATTTAAAATCAAATCAAGAGAAGACTTGATATCAGAAGGATATATGTATCAATGGTTTTCACATGTACAAATAGTAGAAAGATTTAAAGTTGACAAAAGGACATATGGTTTTGAATGTGATAAAGCTGTACTTCAAATTGAGTTATGTACTAATGATGAACATCGTATTGCTAAAATGTATAAACTTTTGTTGAGATTTGAAACAGAAGATGAACAAGTTAAAGATTGTATGGTAAAATGGCCTAAAAGTTTTGGATATAATATGCAAATGGAACAATGGGAAAATATGTGGATGAAAGGTTTGAAATTTACATGTTATAATCTTAAAGAGAAACTTTATAAAATGATGTATCAATGATATCTGTCACTGGAAAGATTGTCAAAAATGTACAGAGGGACTTCAAATATATGTTGGAAATGTGAACAAAAAGAAGGGACTTTTTATCTTCTTTGGTGGACATTAATAAAGCTAAAAAAGTTTGGACTCAAATACATATATTAATTCAGAAAGTTTTGAAGATTAATATACAATCGAAACCAGAGACATTTCTTTCGGGGCTGATGGATAAACAATTAGAAAAATCTCATGGACCTTTGTTTTTATAATTGATAACTACAGCAAGCCTTTTATATGCTCAAAGGTGGAAAGACTCAATATTACCTGCAATGGAAGAATGGATGGCAAAGTTGATGGAGCTAGCTGAGATGGTGAAATTGTCAGCTTTGATTAGAGAAAATACACTGAGTAATTTTAATGCCTCTTTTGGACTTTTTGTGGGAAACAGCAAAAAAATGAAATTATGATGTATGGATTTGATTAGTAAAATTAATGGATTATAGAAAAATGGACATTAAGTTGTAATCTTAGAGTAAGAGTTTAATGTATGTTTTACTTATATCTGCTGTAAAAGAAGTTGGAAGTCATTATTTTTTTGTGTTTCTGTTTCTTTTTCTGCACTTCTGCTTTCCTTTTTCCTTTTTATTCTTTCTTCTATTCTTTTTCTTATTAGTACAGTGGTACCTCGGGATACGAACGCCTCTGCTTGCGAATTTTTCGGGTTACGACCAGCTCTGGCCCCAAAATTTTACCTCGGT